CGTCATATGACCCCCGTAAATAAACAATACTGTCTAAAAATTCCTGAGAATATTCCTTGTAGAACTCCAACAACTTCTTGTCGTAGCTGTCTTTCAGGTCACTTCTAGCATACACTATGATCTGTATGTTCTTGTCTTTGAGCTTATAAAGTTCAGGAACCAGCTTGAGTAATGCTAGGTTTCCACTTCCTCCCAACAACACAATTTGCTTCATAAAAATCCTGGGTTTCTTTTTTTAAAAACAGTCAACCACCTGAAACAGCAATATGCATTGGTGCTTTGAATAAGCGAATTATATTAATTTTTAAACAAAATATTGTGGTTGTTGATTAAGAGCAGGTGAATGTTCGTAAGAACATATTGTGCTCTGAACCAGTGAATATGTTGATGTTAACGCTTGTTTGTTAATTAACGTCATTTAAGCCAAAATATTAAATTTGCCTTGTTGCATTCAAAGGACGGATCTTTGTGTCACACATGACATTGTTTACTTACAAGTTGATATGTTGATAAACAAAGGTATAAAAGTAAATAAACAAACGGAACCCATCCGGGAGCCATGATGAACAATCTAATAAACAGTCACACACAAACATCACTCATATTGTATTATAGATCGAGACACGCCCTACCGGCCGATCATGACACTTTGAAATCGGATATCGGTAAAATAACTGCTACGAGTATGCCATCTGCTTATTTGTGTATTTAAATTAAATATCACATTGGGTTTCTTATTGTGTGAAATTTACAATTTTCTCAAACTTTATCCTTAGTGAAACCCCACGCCATGGTGTAGTTTATGACAGTTTTATTTGGTCTGATGTTGATAATTCGCTCAATGACATATCTGTGTATGAATTTGATACGAATAAGCACCCTGATTTATGGATGAGGATAATTGCAGTCATAATAATTTAGATGGTGCATTCTGTGTAGGCTGTGGGCTAGAAATAGATGCAATTTATCTGGTGTGTGATGAATATAGGCCAATAAAAGTAGAAAACAAAGGAAAATACACTATTAAGAACGAGATTGTTGACTACAAAGTAAAAGTTCGAAAAATGCTTAGTAATTTCAACATGGTGATGTTGGAAGAAAGTGTTCTAAATACAGTAAGAGGGATGAAGTTTAAGGCAAGATTATCGGCAAATGACAGAATATTACTGATCCTGTACGATAAATGCAAAATGGAGAATATACCGCTGCTTATTGATGATATTCTCAAGTACAGCAACCTGAAGAAAGAAAAATTACTAAGAATTCACAGAGATGATTTTGAGTATAAGAAGAAGGAAACGAGTCTCCTAATGAGTTCATTCAATAGAGCGGCTGACTATGCAACCAACAACTACAACATGAAGGTTGGAATACAGTTTGAAGAGGTATTTGGAAAAAAAGACCAGTTTGTAAACACAAATTTCTATAAGCTCTGCCTTGTTATGATATTAGCTGAAGAAAGAAACAAGAGTAAGGCAATGAAAGAATATTTAAGACAAAACAGACACATAGTTAGTAAACTAAATAAATTGTAGACGAATATTCAGGTTGATATTTATAAATTAGTGTTGTATTTTTAAAAATATTTTATTTTTTATGCATTTCGATATCATCAAAGCTGCAATACACAACTTGTTCATCTTCATTCTTGTTCTTGTCCTCTGGGTGGATGTGTTTTATCCAGGT